TTCAACACCTTCACAGCAAATTTCCATACACATATTAGAGCATAAACAAGCCATATTATAGGTTATTTTTAGATTTTTAGAAAAAGATTGTTGCTAAAGATTTTTAAAGTTAAGGAAATTCAATCCCTTTCAAATTATTCCAGACATTACTACTAGTAAAAAATCTTTGAAATATTTTTGCACACAAAAAAATTTGGACCTGCCGCGGTTTTGTACAAAAAAACAGAGCTCTGGGAAATTACCAATGCCAATGTATCGGATTAAAAGCCTTTTTCTGCATTTTTTTCTTCGAAAAGCTATTTTAGGGAGCAGCATAAGAAATTCGGCTGAGACTAACTCCGATTTCCGTCCAATTACATGTGACGAGACAAGCATGTTAGTGATGTCTTTTGAAAATCAGTTTTTCGCTTTCAAAACAACTTGGAGTTTCGAAAAACAGTTGTTGCAAACTGGGCGGTGCCCTCTGGGGCCATTAGTCAAAGTGGATTTATTCTGGCTCATCACAGTTGCAATTTCTAAACAATTTAGATACTTATCGCACTAGCAATTGCTGTATTACAGAAAGTATGTCGCTTCAATATGGCTCTGCTATCGCAGTTATTACTCTAGCGTCAGATACAAATTAACAAATATCTAATCGCCATAAAATCAGTTATTCTATAACAATACGACTTGTGCATTTGACAACAAACCCTCTACTTGTTCTATTCATGATAACCTACTCTATTGCGCATAACGCATTTTATGTATTTTATCTTTAGTCATCCTCATTCTCACAAACATAGATTCTCGTAGTTCTCAGATCTCCCAACAAAGCAACTTCATCCAAAGACAAATAACTCCGTAGATTTTAAATCAGGGGCTTTTTCTGAAAATACGTGCTCATTTGAGAAGATCAAGAACACATTTTTTCATTTGTTTTACCTATATTACTGTTTGTAACGAAGGAAGAAAAAAATGAATAAACTACTCGCTCGTATCTTTCCTGTAATTTTTTCATGTTCGAATGTTCGAATGTAATTTCTTAAGTTAAAACAGTTCAAAATAGAGCAGGTCTTGTCTGCGTTGTT